TCTAGAAGAGGAACAAGGCGCGGACCACGACATGGTGAAGAAGACCGTCGGGATGCTGGCGGAGGAGGACGCTCGAGTGGGGGCATGGTTGGCAGCAATGCAGAAGGGTGAGGATCTGGACTCTGAGAGACTTGTGCGAGAAAGGCAACAGAAGAAGGAAGCCGAGGCGCTCAAGAAGGAGGCGCTGGAGAAGGGCACCGTATGACCGGGTTCCGGGGAAAGCGGTGTTCACGAGGAAAGCTGCTACAGGACGACGGAAATGCCGTGGGGTTGCCTGTGGAAACTTCATGTCGGAAAGGCCCGCGGCGGACACCTACGCTGGAGGCATTGACGCGTCACAGGTGAGGGCGATGGTGGCGGCTGGAGCGCAGCGGGGATGGACTCTTGCGGGGGTCGATGTGAAAACGGCGTTCTTGCAAGTGCCGCCGGGCAGGTCCAAGGACATTGTAGTGGTCAACCCTCCAACCATCTTTCAGGAGTGCCAGATCACGGAGCCGGGAGTCCGTTTACGGCCTTACTACGTCACCCAAGGACTGGGCAAACCACCGGGACGAAACCATGGGCGCGATCAACTGGGAGATGGAAGATGACGAGGGCACATGGGCTTGCTGGTTCGAGAAAACCAAGGAGGTGAATCTGTGAGACGGTGGGCTACATGGCGGTCTACATCGACGACCTGTTGATCACTGGAGATCGCGGGGCGGTGGCGGCGACTCTGCTCAAGATCCGGCAGGTTTGGGACACCAGCGACCCGGAGTGGCTGTCGGAGACAGAGGACCTGCGGTTTTGCGGGTTCGAAGTCTTTCATGATGAGCAAGGGATCCGGATGCATCAGGAGTCCTACACGGCGGACCTACTGGACCGGCATCACATCGCCAAGGGCGGCACGCTGGGAGGAGTGGGGATTGCGGAGGAGGAAGGGCCCCCGAGTCCTGAAGATGTGCGGCAGGCGCAAGTCATCACTGGAGAGCTGTTGTGGCTTTCTTCGAGGACGAGGCCGGACATTACCTACGCGGTAGCCGTGATGGGACAGTGGACTACGAAGAGACCTTGGGGGGTCACGAGGATTGGGGAGAAGGTGCTGCAGTACCTGTGGAGGACGTCACGGGAAGGTTTGCGGTACCAACGTCTTGGTGCTGGAGATTATGGGCCGGACCATCAACAGCATCGTGAACGTCGACGAGATGCAGTGGAGGCCTACGCGGATGCTTCTTTTGGAGCCCATGAGCATAAGTCGATCTCGGGATTGGCCGTGTACTACTCCGGCTGCCCCGTCTTCTGGGCTACGACGCGACAAGCGTGTATTGCGCTTAGTACGGCGGAAAGCGAGCTGGCGGCGCTCATTGAAGCCTGGACGGCTTTGAGGGGAGTTGGTGGCTTGGTGGAGGAACTGGAGGAGAAGCCCGCGGAGCTTAGGCTCTACAGCGACAGTAGTGCGGCCCTGGCCATTGTCAACGGGAGCTCGGGAAGCTGGAGGACGAGACATCTGAGGATACGGGCTGCGGCGCTTTCGGAGGCGCTCAAGCTTGGTGATGTCCAGCTTCAACATGTTCCTGGGCAGAGTCTGGTTGCGGACGGCTTCACGAAACAGCTTGGGGCATCGCCGTTTGGGCGCTTCTAGGAGTCATTGGGCTTCTATGGTGGGGCGGTGGAGAGCGGTGAGAGCCCGGTGGAAGTTGTCAAGGTGAAAAAGATAGAAATTGTCCGAGACAGGAGATTGGAGAAAGTCCTGGGATTGCTGGTGGTGGCCTCTACATGCGTGGAGCTGACAGAGGCGAAGGAGATGGACCTTGGAGAAGAAGGAGGTGGCTACTGGTGGCTTGTGGTGATCGTCGCCGGTCATCTTGCTGAAGCTGGTCAAAGAGCTTGGAGTGGTGGCACTGCGGAACTGCTTGCGAAAAGAGGAAGAGCTGCGGTTCCAGAGGACCTGTGCAGAAGCTGTGATGCCGGAAAGGCCAACGGAGAGCTCAGCCGGGGTGAACCTTTTCGCGGTAAATAGAGTGGTGGTGCCGGCGGAGAGTTACACGCTGGTGAGAACGGGCGTGAAGGCACAGCTGCCCCAAGGAACATGCGGGAGGATCACAACGGTGGCCAGCTTGGCTTTGAGAGGAGTTGAAACTGGATCCGCGGTCATTGAGCGCGACTTCAGTGGAGAGGTGAGGATGTTGGTCAGAAACCATGGACCCCAGGACTACGTCATCGAGCCGGAGGAGGCGGTAGCGCAATTGGTGCTGGAGAAAGTTTCCCTGGCCAAGATCAAGGAGGTGAAGGAGTTAGACGGGCCTGTGAAGAAGCAGGAAGAGGAGGTTGGTCCTTCGGTGAGATCGTTGGTGGTCGAGAAGGCTGGTGCTTCGTCAGGGAGATCGTCTATGAATTGGATGAAGCCGGGGGTGAAAGGCTTTGAGAATGTGGGTGAGGGGCTGCGGCTGCGAAAGGTTGCACCAGCCGGTGGTGGAGATGGTCCTCCGGAGGTGACAGAAAGGCCATCGCAGGATGAACCTGGTGAAGATGAATGGGAGGTCGAGTTCCGCGAGAATGAGATTAGACTTTCCCGCATTCACATGGTGCCGCGCTACTGGGACTACATTCCGAGGCCTAGAGAGCTTCCACCCGGCATCAACTTTGAGGACTTGGACTACATCAGGATCTCCGAGATCGCTCCGGACGCTGAGAACGGCATGACCTGGGAGAGGGTGGTCGAGAATTGGCAAGAAGAGCGCTGGGAGAGGAGGACGCCATGGACGGGGTCTTCAAACTTCAGGGTCTTGAGGCGGCCCGAAGCCGGAGTGAGGAGCTCGAGTTCAAGTGGTCCGGGGCAACAACCTCCTGGGAACGGAGGAGGTGGAGAATCGGGATCAAGGCCTTCGGGATCTTCGGGAGGGGATTCCTCGGCGGCTGGATCAGGAGCTGGTGGAACGGCTGGATCAGGGACATCGGCATCTACCGGAGGTGGTGGCGGTGGCATTGATGGGGCGGCAAACAAGCGGCCTAGGACGCATGGAGAGGAGATGATCTCGCGGCGGGTTGTGGGCGGTTCGGATCAGAACATGCTGGAGGTCATGCGGCGCGCTTTCTTTCAGGACCTTGAGGAGAGCGCGGTGGTCATGTTGTCCCATCCGCCTAAGGGGACGCGGGACGAGTGGATTGAGGTGCCTCTTCCTGGCCTTGGAGAGATTGGCATCCAGGTCCACAGGAAGGAGCGCGTGAAGCTCTTCGACACGGAGAAGGAGGGCTACGAGGGAACGAAGCGCACCATTGCCTGGTCCGTTGGAGGAGGGCTGTGGGTGGACCTGTCGCCTCGGAAAGGGCGGCGCGAGAAGTTCGAGAAGGGCAAGTGGGTGGGCTACACCATCTTCAAGAAGAGCTGAGGGGTTTGAGCAGGTTCTTTTTCCGGGTGAGACCCTTAAAAGAAGGGGGAGCCCTGATGTTTGAGTTGCGGATGAAATCACCGGGCATGGATAGCCCCTTTTTGGCCGAAGAAGGAAAATAGCCTGCAGTTAGTTGAGTGGTTTCAACCCGCAACTGTTGTGTCTGAAATTGAAGGGCAAAGTGTCCGGAGACAAGCGGCACTTTGGCGATCCGGGCAATTTCCGGTTGTTTCTCAAAATGGGACTTGGCCCTAAACAAATACATACATACATATATATATATACACACACATATTCTTCGGAATAGTTTTGGAGGTATGCATGCTTCTCTACCACCAATACACGTTTGTAAGGCATGCCAACTACTCCTTATAGAAGTGATATTTTGCAACCACCTTCCGTTGGGGTATTTGTTTTTTACGGTTCTTGGCTGTAAACTAGACTAAGTGTCCTGAGCACAGGGGGTGACCCTCGGAATTAATGAATTGAGCAACGCCCAAAAACAAACTGTTTTAATGAGGTTTATAGTAAGGGGTGTATCCTGTCCGTCAGTCTGCCTGTCTGTCCGTCTGTCCGTCTGGCTGTCTGGCTGTCTGTTTGTCTGTCTGGCTGTCTGCCGTTTGCCAACTAGGGGAAGCCTTGAAATGATGCTATGTTCCCTTTCAACGGGTCCACCCGAAAAGGCTGGAAATTGGCAAGGAGCCATTCCAGGCGAAGGTCTTCGAGGCGAGGAGTCCGAGTTCTTCGCCTTCAGCAGCATTTGGGTGTGTGTGTGTGTGTTTTTGGAGGGGAGCCCCCCGTTTGGTTGGTTTCAGGGGAAAAAGACGCGGAGACCAACCATGTTGGGGGTCCCTAATTTTAAGACAAACCCATTTCTGCCAGAGAAAAGTTAGTATGGGGGAGCTGTTGGGAAGGCCCCAGAAATCAAAAAAGGTCAAATGCAGGTCAAAGGAGTGGGTCGCAATTCGAGCACGCCCTTCAGATCAAAGAGACAGGTCGTAGCTTGGAAAAAAGCGACGGGGATCCAAGAGGGAAGATCTGTGTCTCCAGCGAACTGGCAACTTTTGCAGCCAAGACACCAGGTAGAAAGCTGACAAACTGCGTCAGGAACTTTGGCAGAGAGTCGCCGAAGTGCTGCGAAAGCCCCAAGGCTGGGTGCTGAACCGTCACTTTTTTTGGTTGAACATGTGGGGATTGATCAAAATTCCTGGCCCCAAAATGACCATGACTACCTTTTGATCAACCCCCATGTACACGTTCCCACGCAACATCTTAAACGTTTTGCGCAGGGGGCAATCGCCACCAAGAGGCGTGTAACCAAGCTTTTAGGGTACCCCATCGGCGCATAGAGTTCCTGCACAGAGCAGTAAGTTGTCCATGTTGCTTGACGGCTTTGACGAGAGCAGTTTTTTTTAGATAAGAGACCCTTCGGTGGACATCATTGAGAGGGGATTCATGTCCATCGATCCTTTTTTGGAGGTGGGCCCCTATAGTAATAGTCGCTGCCAACTAATCGAAGTTAAGTACCTGGATTTACTTGCTAGTTTGTACCAGCAGCTGTGCAGCTGTGACTGTTCTTTAAGGGCAGAGTGTCTGGAAGCAGGGCTTTGACGAGGCTATTGCCCAGTGTGCATGAAGAAGCACGAGGGCGACATGCCGCTGATGAGGCCATCCATAGTGCTTTTGCTGTGGGCTGCGGCGGGTGCCTTTTTTGGTTCCACCATCTCACTGTGGAGTCGACCTGTTGGACGCCACGAACAAAGTGCGGGTAGAACAAGAGAGGAACAGCAGAAAGAAGTCGGTTCGGATTTCAGCCCTTTTGGCTCTTTTTGGGTTTTGGGTAGACCCCTTCAGGCTTTCAACAGTTTGGGTCATGGGTGCCTCAGTCATAGGCTTGCAACTTGGAGAAACGACAGAACAGGTAAACCCTTTCTTTACTCTTTGCCAAATTTTGATTGTGACTCACATGTTTGAAGGGGCCACAGCCCGGACATTTTCGCAACCCACCTGCCATTGTTCAGGGGTTGCTCTTATACCTTCTTTGCCACTCGGACATTTTCTGGTGAGATCTCTGATTTGCTCGCCAGGTGCTACCCCTGCAGCGAGCTTTGTCGCTTCGCCTTTGAGGAGTCGGTCTTTGACCCGCGCTGCGCCCTCAAGGCGGGAGACGGGGGGGGGAGGCTGTGGCCTTCCCACGCCGATCCGCACCCGTTGGGATGGATGGAACTCAAGGGATAATCCAAAAACCGACTGGTGCGACGTGGGTTTCGTCCATCCACGGTAGGGGAACCCACCCCAAAATGGATCATCGGTGGTTAAGAAAATGGATTTGAAGGCCCCAAACATTCTCGGTTTTCCTTTTCATCTCCTATAATGAAAAGGGTACCGAGCCCAAACAAAAACCAAGCCCCTCCTGGGTTTATACATATATATATATATATATATGTGTTGTCGTCAAACAGCGATCTTTTGAACAAACGTGAAGGATACATAGTTACGGCGTGTGGGAGCCGCATTCGCAACGATTGAGCCCTAGGGAGAGAACTGTTTGGTATGTAAGGAACAACACAAAAATGGAAGCACTGGTAAAACGAGGTCCTTTGCAAGACCGAGTTAAACGAGGTCGAGGAAGTCCTGGGTAAGGAAAACAGCAAATGGAAGCCGTGGCCTAAGAGATCCCTATTTTGAGAACTGTTTGGTATGTAAGGGGAAAACAACGACAAAAATGGAAGCACTCCCTTGAGAACTGTTTGGTATGCAAGGAAGAAACCATAAGGAAGCCATGGCCATGTTTCTAGGGGTTGATTCCCCTTTCTTTTCAACCACCGTTCTATTCAATCACCGTCTGTTTCCCCTGGGTTTTTGGATGGTTTCCTAAAAAGATTCGGATCCCTGGAAAAAAAACGTGCAGAAGGGAAGAACCCATGAGAAAGAAAGCCATGAGGAGGAAGCCATAAGGAGGAAGTTCCCATAAGGAGGAAAGCCATGGGAAGCCATGGCCATGGGATCCCTTCTCTGAACCGACAGGACCCGGAGGTCGTGGCGCTGCACCTGGCGCTGGCGGCAGCTGCAGCGGAGGCGAGGCGGCAGTGGGAGGGGATGGGCAAGCCCAACGCATAGATTTGGTGCGCCCTAGAAGCTGTTTTTTTTTTTTGAAAGTTTGGGTAAATGAAGTTGGATTTTTGGATTTGTTTCCTTGGATTTGGGGCAAATACATTTCTGTTTGCCAGGTTCGGATTCTGACTCAGCTGCTTTGCATGCTCGTGTCAAGACATCGTGACATGGGCGCAGGTCCCATCAAAAATGGCAAGCTTCTTCTCAATTGCTGTGGATGCAGCGCGCTCACGACGTCAGGATTTGGGCTCAAGCTGGTGCAGGGTGGTCCTGGCTTCCCAAAATTGCGCTTGCAGGCCATGTCGAAACGCGCGAGCTGGGCAGACCTCACAGAGGACCCAGTTGCCAACGGCATTCTTTTGCCACGATTTTTTGAGCGGGGCTTTCTTTATGTGAATCCACCAAGTCTTCCCATACCCACTCTGGGCAAGCAGGAGGAGGAGCAGAATGAGAATGAGCAGGAGCCGGAGGTTGCACGGCTACAAATTGGGCACTTCAAGGCACTGTTGAAAGGCCCCAAGAAACAAAAGAGGAACCGGCGGCTTTTGGAGGAGGCCAAGGGTTTCAACTTGTCAAAGAAATTCAAACTAGTGGGCCTTCTTGGGATGTGACGAGCAAGCATTGCTTAAATGTAAGGGGCGCTTTCGATTATGATTGGTTGCGAGCGATCGTGCACTGTCAACGTTGTTGTGTTTCAGTGGTCTGCTCTCAATGCAGTTTCCTCGTAGCGGGATCGGAGCTACAGATGCAAGCTGCACACCAGTTGCTGAGGTGCAGGTGTCAAACTCCACTGATCACTTCCCATTTCCAGCAGAATTTTGGGGCATCTTGAGTGAAACTGAGGCGGCGGCTGGTTCTGCAGGCCGAGTTCTGAGGTGCCTTTGGTGCCAGCGCCAGCTCCCATCGTGCCGGCACCACGCCAATGGGCGCTGCACTCGCCGCCAGAACTGCAAGTTCTGCCACTGCCCGTAGGGGTGTGGTGAGCTACGGGCGGATGTGGCGGGCCAGTAACGCCCCTCTTGTGCTCAAGGGGGCGCGCGGCTGAAAGCTAGAAGCGTGAGATGGGAATCGAGTTTTAACAAGCCGCATGCGACCAGATGCTGGTTGATGGCTGATGGAGCGGGAGAATCAGCAAGCTGACCGCGTTCTGTGATTGCATTCCCATCCCTAATCCCATGTTCAATATCGAGGCGAGCTCGTAGATTCTCCCGCGTTGAAGCAGTGTTGGTGCAAAAAACTGGGTTGCGTGCCTGGTTCGGTCCAAATTGCGCTCTTTTCTTGATGGGTTGGTTGCACATTTCGTTTAAAGCAAGCCTTTCACCCTTGGTGGCCACCTTAGCAGGAGGTTCTACGTTCTACAAATGTCTTTCATATTTATGCCCATGGTGGCTTCTTGGTCAAACCAGCAATCACAAAAGGAAATCGTTTGAAGAGGCAGGCAGGACAGGGTTGGTCGCACGACTTGCAACTTAAACCACGCCCAAGGCCCCTTCGAGGGGACACCCCAGCGATGTTGTCACCACAACTCGCAGTGCAGGGAAGGAAGAGGAATTCCAAAGCGGGCGTGTGTTACGGGTGGTACCCGGTCTTAGGTTGGCGCAGGAATCAAACGGAAAGTAGCAGGAAAAAATGGGTCCCCCGATTCTGGCGCATGCCCACGCAATGATTGAGCTGAGAAGGTCGACAGGCTGCTCTGACCTACAAACATGGAGTCTGTTAGAACGCGCCCCTTGGTGTGTGTGTGTGTGTGTATTATGGGCTCAAAATAGGGTTTTCCTTCAAGCAGCGCAAAGAAATAAATCCGAATTGGGGATGGTTGCAAACCTTATGGGGGGAGGCCTAGCACCCATCCTGTGTGGTTTTGTATCTTCAATGGCTGCTTTTTGGGGTGCCGTTTTCAGGTTAAAAGGAAGACCCTTGATGTGAGTTGCGTTTTGGGTGATGTTTAAAGGGGACACACAGGGAGCCCTGATGGGGGTTAGCAGACCAAGGCCGCCAAGGGAATGGGTCTAGTATCCATGCCATTGCTCACAGCGACACTTGCCCGTGCCATGATTGGAATCTAGACTTCCATTTGCTTAAGAATATGTTGTTATTTTCCCTTGTTGGTTTTAAAGGGAATGTATCACTACTGGAAATATCTTAGTTATCTTTAATGTTTTTCTTTCGGGCTTAAGCAAATGGAAGTAGACTGAATCAAGGGGGTGTCCCTTTTGCCCGTATAAAATCAAGGCTCGCTTGCCCACAGCGAATCGACCGAATCTGAGCTTACGTGTCCCCTCTTTGGCAGGCATGCTTTCGTGACCCCCGAAGGTGATCACCAGATACACTGTGGATGGACGAAGTTATGAACCACAAGAAACCCTGGAATGATGATTCCCATGTAAACACCAACGTTCTGGTTTCAACCATGGTCTCATGTCGTGGTGCGAGGCGGATTTTGCATCCATCCACAGTATTTCTGGGTAGCTGGGCATTCCGTTGCTAGGGGGGTGCTCTGGAGCCAGTGCCCCCGCCCCTGGCTGGCACGGCCGCCCAGTTCCAGTCGAAAGTGGGACGATCGTCCCAACCGGCAAATGGATCAACTTTTAGTTCGGGGAAATCCAGTGACTTTTGTCAAAATGAGCTTAAGAAAAGGGTCCGAGAGAATGTGCCTGCAAGGCGGGCTTTCCGGGTATGTTAGTTTTTCCAGTTTAGCCTGGGCTAAATGGGGATCACTTGCTCCGGGATTTTAAACAAGGAAGGGACGGAATAGGAGTTCTAACCAATGCACGTGTTCCTACTGCGGATGGACAGATTCGGAGATTCCTGCACCATGTGGGAAGGATGAAGTGCTATGAACACTGGTTGCAAAACAACCTAACAACTGGTTCCTGGCGTGGATTCTGTCCATCCACAGTAGGGATTTGGGCCCCACACATGGCTTTCACTTTCTGTTTTCGATTTGGTTTCCCTCGTATCAAAGGTATGTTCAGGTGGCCATGGTGCCCCTTTGATCGGGTTTCACTTTGGCTTTGGCTGGACCATGATCATGACCCACATGCCTTGGTGGTTCCCAGCCATCCCCTGGCTTTTAGCCTTCTAGTGTTTAGTGGGGCCCACTAAAAGTTAAACTTTTAGCGGGGGATCTGAGGACAGCCCAGATGCCTCGATGAGTTTTTTTGGAGGCTCGGTCCTCGGCCCCTTTTGGGCGGTTGGTTTGAAGGGAAACCAAGATGGGCGCGTCTTTCTTTGGAGCGAAACCCCCCTTTTTGCGGGTTTTTCAAAGGGAAGCCAGAAGCAACACCGAAGGCACCATGGAGGGCGGCAAGCTGACACGTGCGGTGAGGCTGGGGTGCCGGGCAAAAGGGGGGGAAGCGAGGAAGTGGTCGCAAGTTGTAGCGGTGGCTTCCCCTTCCTCTTCAGGGATCCTTCTCTCAGCAGGAAAACGGCTCAAACTTCTGGAAAAAAAGGTTTCTCAATGGGGAATGTGCCTTTTTGGAGGGTCATTTTGACGACATCACTTTTGATGGACCCATGGATCCAGTACAAGGCTCACAGGATGGATCAAAGGATTCTTCCACTTTGATATTCTCAAGTGAATTCCTTTCTTCCAGCAGACTTCACAGTGGCAAATGGAACAGTGTAAGCCAACCGAGTGTGTCCTTCTCCGTGTTTTTTTCTCCCCCATTTGGGGGTCGAACATTGGCCCACCGGGGTTGTCTCTCATTTTGCCAGACCCATTCTCAGGGTCTGAGTTCCATCGAAAGCCAACCGGCTCAGCCGCTGGGCCTCTCGCGACCGGCGCGTGGATGTTTTGGCTCACGTGGAACATGTGAGCCGGCAAAGTCCGGGGAAAGTGGGGCCCGGCGACTGGGTCCAGTCAATCTAAGCAACTGTTTCGTTAAGAAAGCAAAGTAAGTTCGAAGTTCAGGACACCAACTTTTGAATTTAAAGAAAACAAAACAACATGCAGATTTCGAAGTAGTCGCACGCTCTCTTGGTTTTGCGCCAGACGGTTTTGTTGTTTCATTTGTTGTGGTCTTACAGAGAATATTGATTAGGATCAGGTCCCCTGAGTTTTGACAACACAGACTGGTTTGACTGTTGGAGATACAGCAAGATTAGACATGACTCTCTATTGAAGCAGCTTCTGCTTGGGTATCTGTCGAAATGGGGGACCCCGTAGAGGGTGGTGGTTGGGTTCCCTTCAAGCCAAGCTAACACGAGTACCTTCTAAAGGCAGACCCGCTCAGCTTCTGGCGTTTTCAGGCCCCGGCCATCCATGTTGTCATCGCCTGTTGTCATCGCCTGTTGTCATCGCCTGGCCAGCCATGGGCCAAAGCCGCCCAAGTGTTTGCCAATGCTGCACTGCCACCGGCATAGGCTCGGCCAAGCATGTCGCTACAGGTTTTGAAGGTGTGGGGCAGGGGAGGGGGAGGGGAGGGGAGGGGAGGGGAGGGGAGGGGCCAAAAAAACATCCGGGGGGGGGGAGGTCGGATTGTCTCAAATGTGGGAACTCCCAAAAACGACTCGCTTCGATTTGGCTCCCGTTTCAAACGGCCCCAGAGGCAAGTATCCTCAAAAACACCTCCCCCCATGTTTTGCACGCCCGGTGTGATAGCGGCTCGTTCGTCGGTCCGTTGGCGTTCACGCTTGAGTGCCTTTCAGCCGTTGACCTTTTCGCTCAGCGACCGACCCTTTGAACAAGCTTCAGGCGCAAGTTTGACACCGTTCCAACGCCAGCTCAAGATTGCCTTGGGGTGATGTCCCGCTGGATCGCCGAACATGAGCATCTTGAGGGATTCTCAAGAGTGCCCGGCGGGTGCTTTTGGACACAGGCGACGAGCTGTCGCTGATGCCACCACGGAAGCGGCAGGCGGGCCGCATGCAGCTACTTGATACACAAAGCAACCTGGAACTCAAGGCAATGGGTTCAGTTCATGTAGTTAGATGTAGTTGCCATTGTGTACATAAGGCGTCTTATCATCTGAATTGGACCCCCCCCCCATTAAAACCCGAGGAAACTTTTTGTTGGCTTTTGGCCACATCCGCTTTCTCCCCCCCCCCCCCCCCCGCCTCGCCCCGCGGCATTTCTACACGCAGAAACCAAAAGTCGGTGCCATGACCTCGGTGGCATGATCCGGGGGCAATTTTTTTGTGGTTGCCGCGACCTATTAAACACGGGGGAGGCAACGAGGGCAAGCGCCACTCATTTGCAAGGCGACGCCGATGGGGCAAGGAAGCCTCTTGTTGACTGCTTATTTTGAGCCAGACGTCTCCATACGTGTGGTTCCATTAGGCTCGGTGCCTCTTTCCCATTGGTTGGAAGGGGAACCAAATGGAACACCGCTCTGTTGGGTTCCCTATTTTGACACACACACACACATACGGATGTGTCCTCACTCCCTATCCACAGGACACCGTCTCGCGCAAGTCCATGCCGCAGATGCCGGAGTGGATGAAGCAGATGGCGCCTGGAGTTGATGGTGAGGAGGCGGGCCGGGGTATGGTGGATGGATGAAGTGGTTTAAGTGAACCAACCACCTCAACCACAAGTAACACCCTGTACTGAAGTGGTCTACCAGCCATAAGGGAACTTGGAACTGTCCCTTTCACTTACGCAGCTCTTACTTGTCATCTATCCCCTCATGGGAACCTGTACATTGCTGGTCTACAACCCCTACGGATGCCCTAAATGGCCCATAGAGCTGGCAGTGGCAATGGCCTGCGTCAGTGATGATAAGGATGATACTGGTGGTGGTGGTGTTGGTAGTGGTGGCGGTGGTGGCAGTGGTTGTGATGATGATGATGATGATGGTGGTGGTGGTGGTGGTGGTGGTGGTGGTGGTGGTGGTGGTGGTGGTGGTGGTGGTGGTGATGCTTGTGATGATTACGATGACTTGTAAGTGTCCGACTAACAACTTGTTTGGAATATATGTGGCTCGTCTGCGGCCCAAACTAGGCATTAGCATGTTTGCTGGCGCCTAATTTCTGTTTTGCAACGCCGAGGTTTGTTTGAGGGAATTGGAGGGTGCGCGACGTCACCTTTGACTGGGCCCGCAGTTGGCAAGCTCTGGAAAGCTATTAGCCAGCTATTCGCTTGCTAATAGCACAGCTCATGGGCGAACGGGAAGCTTAGGCCATCCGTCCCGGCTCCATGTTCATGAGGATCGAACATGGGACGCAGCCTCCATTTGGCGATTCAACCCCGGTTTACCCTCCCTCCCACTAACATCCTGACATAGCACCTGCGGGAGGGTACCTGGAAAATCAACTTCCTCTTGAAGCGACCCTCTGTGAGGTGCTATGTTAGTTGGAGAGGGCAAGCCAAAGGAACCTCGTAGCTTCTTTCAGGAAGCTGTTGCCATTGGCTACACTAGCTCCCCCAGTAGTGCCCTTCTCTCCGAGTTTTTTGGGGTTCTGGGTTCCCCTACTAAAATAGACTACGAAGAAAAAAATCGGGTACCCCCTTATTCTTCCTCCTCTCAAATCTGGAGGACCTAGTACACATTTTCCGCCACCGGCGTTGACGGGTGTAGCTTCCAGCGCCCGCTTTTCCACGTTCCCCAACAGCGTCAGGCCCTGCAGGTGGTGTCAGCCTGGGAGCAGTTCAAAGAGGCGAGTCGGCCGGGGATTGCTACGGTAGAACCCACATTGCCATGGGTCAAAAGCCCGGTTAGCCGCCACTAAACATCCCAGTTCCCACTGAAATACGTTCTAAAATGGGTGGTGAATTCACCGAAAACCCCAAAATGGGATCCCGTTGGTTTTGACCACCACAGCCACATGGGTATCGAATGGCCCATAGATTCCCCAGCCCGAAATCTTGGGCTTCCTGTTTGACAGCCAGAACGCAACTGCAGGACCCTCTTAGGGGCAAAGAAGCCTTCTAAATCTGTTTTTCTTTAAGACAGTGGCCACCCATTAGTAGGGTCCTCGTTAGAATCGAACGTATCCGTAGGTTAATGCACGGATAGTAACGCTAGGGCCTTCACCCAAAAGCCCTGACCGAATGCAGCTTGCTTGGGGGTTCGGAGAACCACCCAAACCCGGTAAGGTTTTGCCAATTACCAAAATCCGAGTTGCCACATGTTGGTTTCGCACCTGTCCCTGAAAGCAGGAGCCCACATGAATGTAGACAAAGACACAGAGAGGCAGAGAGAGACCGAGGGCCAGACAGAGAGACAGAGAGGCAAAGAGAGAAAGAGAGAGGGAGAGAGAGAGAGAGAGAGAGAGAGAGAGAGAGAGAGACAAAGAGAGAGAAAAAAGAGAGAGAGAGAGAGAGAGAGGGAGAGAGATCAAGAGAGAGAGAGAGAGAGAGAAAGAGAGAGAGAGAGAGAGAGGGAGAAGAAAAAGAGATACAAAAGATGGGAAGATTCGAGGAAGGTTAACAAAAACACACCCAAACTCAGGTCAGCGCCCCAGTTCAACCACCGGGTATGGGACATTCTGTTCCACCATCTGCGAGGCTTCCACCAGGGTTCCACCAGGGTTGCACCATCTGCGAGGCTTCCACCAGGGTTCCACCAGGTTCTGCAAGGGTTGCGGGGTGGTCCGGGGTGGTTTGAGGTAAGGTTCCACGAGGGTTTCACCAGGGTTCCACCAATTTCTTCGAGGGCTGCGGGGTGGCCTGGGCTGGTTTAAGGAAGGTTCCACGAGGGTTCCACTGGTCCGGGGTGGTTTGAGGTAAGGTTTCACCAGGGTCCCACCAGGGTTCCACCAATTTCTTTGAGGGCTGCGGGGTGGTCCGGGCTGGTTTGAGGAAGGTTCCACGAGGGTTCCACCAGGGTTCCACCAGGGTTCCACCAACCAGGGTTCCACCAGCGGTCCGGGCTGGTTTGAGGTAAGGTTCCATGAGGGTTCCACCAGAATGCCACCAGGTTTTGCAAGGTAAGGTTCCATGAAGGTTCCAGCACGGTTCTAGCAGGGTTCCACGAGGTTCTGCAAGGGCTGCGGGGTGGTTTGAGGTAGGGTTCTATGAGGGTTTCAGGGTTCCACAAGATTCTGCGAGGGCTGCGGGCCCTGGTTTCACAGGGCTCCACAAAGTTCTGCAAGGATTCCACACGGGTTCCAGAAGGCTCCACAATCCCTAGACTTCCAAAGGACATTGAATAAATGGCCGAGGTGGCAAAGTACATGTCATGGGAAAAGGCATTTTTTTGCTTAAATTTGGTGGGATCATGATTCTCACGAAAATCCCATTTAAAAGTAGCTTGAGGGGGCTGCAAAGTCCCATTTTGCCGAGCTTGAGAGTGCTTCGTGCGCTTCGCACTGCGCGAGATTGCGCTGTCACTCGTAGCTTTGCTTGAGAAAGTTACAAGGCGGCATCCTCAGCAACGCCGGCGG